CTTCTCCTTCAGTCTTAAGAAAATGCTTTAAATTACAAAATGAATGCTTAAATGAGCTAGATTAATTACCACAACTTCACTTCTGAAAATAATGATGTATTTTACATGCACATCAAGCACAACTCTTGGATGGAAATCTAAATTTAATCATAACAAATTGCTCAGTAAACTTTCTGATCTGGACTAATAATTCTAAATTTTTGTGAAATTACAATAAAGATCTTATTTCAATAAGAAATAGTTTGCGTTTGAGATCAGTCAGAATGTTTATTGTTATGGGGTCCATTTCTATAAGGACTTCTTGATATAAATGTCTTGTCATATCTGCTCACAAATTCTGCCTATGAGTTAGTTTATAAGTTCTGGACTTGATTCCAGAATAAATGCTGCTGGGAGGTTGGCATAATTCCAGTTATAAGTGACTGGAGATAAAATTTTCAAGAAATATAGCCAGATCAGCAAGAAATAAAATTGAGAGAAAGTCAGTATCAGGACAGGTGACTGTTTAAAAGCCAATAAAATAATGAAAGAAAATGAACACATTCATCTCAGAAGAACCGTCAAAAACTTTACTAAAAGTATATTGGCTCAATCTCCAAAAACGTATATTAAGAGTTAAAAACATAGAAACATAGAATGTGACGGCAGATAAGAACCATTCGGCCCATCTAGTCTGCCCAATTTTCTAAAAACTTTCATTAGTCCCTAGCCTTATCTTATAGTTAGGATAGCCTTATGCCTATCCCATGCATGCTTAAACTCCTTTACTGTGTTAACCTCTACCACTTCAGCTGGAAGGCTATTCCATGCATCCACTACCCTCTCAGTAAAGTAATACTTCCTGATATTATTTTTAAACCTTTGTCCCTCTAATTTAAGACTATGTCCTCTTGTTGTGGTAGTTTTTCTTCTTTTAAATATAGTCTCCTCCTTTACTGTGTTGATTCCTTTTATATATTTAAATGTTTCTATCATATCCCCCCTGTCTAGTCTTTCCTCCAAGCTATACATGTTAAGATCCTTTAACCTTTCCTGGTAAGTTTTATCCCGCAATCCATGAACCAGTTTAGTAGCCCTTCTCTGAACCCTCTCTAAGGTATCAATATCCTTCTGAAGATACGGTCTCCAGTACTGTGTACAATACTCCAAGTGAGGTCTCACCAGTGTTCTGTACAATGGCATGAGCACTTCCTCTTTCTACTGCTAATACCTCTCCCTATACAACCAAGCATTCTGCTAGCATTTCCTGCTGCTCTATTACATTGTCTGCCTACCTTTAAGTCATCAGAAATAATCACCCCTAAATCCCTTTCCTCATATGTTGAGGTTAGAACTCTATCAAATATTCTGTACTCTGCCCTTGGGTTTTTACGTCCAAGAGTTGTATTATTGTTGTATTATTTACGTATATAAAAAAACATGGAAGTACAGAAAAAACTATATTGTACTAAATGTATTGAAAAATGATATGTAGACATGTATCCATCCAAACTTGTCTTAACTCGTCTTTGCATATGATCCATAATGAAACGTACAATTAATACTTTTGCTTTTGTTTGCACTGATTTTTCTTGTTACCATTATAACAAAACTGAGGCTTTATCATATGCAATATCAATCTGCTATCATGCAGCTTATCTTGCTTAAATGCCTCTGCATCTTATGTCTTAATATAGCCTCAATATATATTAAGATTGACAAAACATACACTGTTACACATATACACAGTCACATATATTATTATTATTATTATTATTATTATTATTTATGTAGCGCCGTCAAATTCCGCAGCGCTTTACAATGGGTGGACTAACAGACACGTATTTGTAACCAGACAAGTTGGACACACAGGAACAGAGGGGTTGAGAGCCCTGCTCAATGAGCTTACATGCTAGAGGGAGTGGGGTAAAGTGACACAAAAGGTAAGGGTAGTATTAGACTAATGACAATTGCAAGAGCTACTAACAGTTGATACGCTTTTATGAAGAAGTGGGCTTTTAATGATTTTTTGAAGGAATAAAGACTGGGTGAGCATCTAACGGAGGAGGGAAATGAGTTCCACAGGAACGGTGCAGTCCTCGAAGTCTTGAAGGCGAGCATCAGAGGTGGGAGTACGGAAAGAAGATAGACGTAAGAGCATAAGGGCCTAGACGGGACACACTTGTGTATTAGGTAGGATAGATAGGTGGGAGCAGCATTATGTAGAGATTTGAAAGGAAGAACCAGAATTTTAAATTGAGCCCTATATCTTACAGGAAGCCAATGTAGGGACTGACAGAAGGGTGAGGCGTGGGCGGTGCGGGCGTACAGGAAGATGAGCCTCGCCGCTGCATTCATTATGGACTGTAACGGCGCAAGTTGGGAGCACATAAGACCACTGAGAAGCAGATTACAATAGTCAAGTGTGCACACACACTTACACATATACACACTGGTACACATATACACAGTCGCATGTACATACACACTTACACATATACACACTGGTACACAGATGTCCATTAGCCATGAGTCACTGTTTTTGGTGTGAGTAACCATTCCTATCATGCTCCCCCTCCCCCCCAAAAATGTAAAAACAAAAGGAAATAGCTAAAGCTTACTTCTGTTCTGCCAATGAGGCCAAATTCTCCCTTAGGAGGACATGCTGTGCATACTGATGATAGACACCAAACATGCACAAAACAGATATTAGTCAGAAATCATGCTCAAGGCTTGCTTATAACTTTGGACATATTGTAGCATATACTAGTATATAGTATTTTGAAATATTTTCTTTGCTGGGGTTTAATAGATTTGGGGATTTTTATTTTCTACTCAAGTCTCTCATGCTAACAGCAATGAAAAAAGCAAAGAAACAGGTGTGGCAGTCCAACCAATGTCAATAAAGAGCAACACAATGACAGTTAATAGTCTATTGTGGTATGGAAAGATTCTAATAGTACTATAAATATACAATGTGTCTGCAATGATACATTGTATATTAAAACAATAAACATAATAAATAACCTAATACAGAAAAAAATAAGTGACAAACTATATTGTGACGGAGCACCCTGTACCCCGGCTGCCACTTGATAGCTGGGTAACGGATAGGGGACTAACTCTATGCGCTCCCAGGGGTTGGACAACACACAGCCCTGGGTGCTTCTTAGTCCTTACAAGGACTTTTCCCACTGCATCCTCCACGAGCTGGAACAGTGATTAACCCTTTCTCGACAGTGACAGGATGAGACACAGCTTTGGGGTAAAAACACTGACAATGCTTTATTGGTACAGCTTTCTTTTATGCACAGACTCTCCATTCAGTTCAACACACTCCCAGGCTGGAGGGGGATGGTTTGTAGATAACCATCTCCCGCACTGGTAGATACCAACAGCACATACAGTTACACACATTAAAACACATTACATATATGGGAAACAGAGGCTTTGCACCCCAAGAAGGAATGGGGTTACACATATAAAACACATATCACTGATAACCCATCTAGGAATCCCTGTAAATAGCGGGGTTTTGGGTGTACAGAGCCCGAGAAACCATCATGCAAAGTCTGGAGTTCGAGGCTCTGTACATCCCGGAAATTAGTTCCACAGCATTGCTTGGTTTGGTCCGATTAATTCAAACTTCGCACCCAAAGCAAGCAACAGCCAATCCAGAAAAATGGCGCGAACTAAATGCGCCAATCAGCACTCAGGGAGGAGAGGGGTTTCGCTGCCCAATCACGAGACAGGGCACGAAACCTATGTGCACCAATCGGCGCTTGAGGAGGAGAGGGGTTTGGCCTTCCAATCAGGAGAAAGGGCGCCAAACCCTGTTTGAATGGGACGTCCTCCTCTGATTGGTTGCCTGTGCCCAGCATCGACCAATAAGTGCTCACTTGTGCCGGCTCATCAGGAGAATGTCGCAAACCTAGTTTGAATGGGAGCTCCTTCTCCTGATTGGTCGGCACAAAAGCCGACTCACAGCTCCAGGGTCTCTGCTGGGGCTTGCGTCTCTCTCCGTTGGCTTCCGCCACTTAGGCAGCCCCGGGGATAGCGCTCCTTGGGCAGCTCCCGGGAGGGAAAGCAGTGATTATAGCTCCATTAGGAGCAGGTAGGGCGATCCTCAACATGGAGACCTGAACAGTGTTGGAGTTCGGCTATACGAACCAGCGGCCACCCAGGGGAGCATTCGTTAATGATTTCCCTTGCGGTTTCAGAATGTTCTAATGAGCGTTCTAAATGGGAAATCAGGGTGGTCCCCATTTGGGAGACGAACAGGTTCCATTCGTATGAGCTCTCCCGAACGGGGGAACAGGCAAAATACATTAAATACATAACATATACATGGGGAAACACAGAATACAAGGGGAAAACACACAAATAAGCAGTGGGAATGGTACTCAGTGACGGCGGTCCGTCCCCTATATATCTTACAATCCAATTTTATAGTGTATAACAGAAACATCTAAATATCACTTTACTGACTGCAGTTTCATAGTAAAAAAAAGATTTCCAATTTGGATAGGAAGTGGATAACCTCAATAACAAATATCCTAAAAAAAGAACAATATGCCCTCATATACCCTAAGGGACTAGTAATATAATAACAAAATTACTTTATATAAAGCATATACAGAGAAAAAATAACTTATATCGTCAAACCCTATTAAACTTGATTGATGTCGCTGTAGGAAATGATATTAAATAAGATCCAAAAAGCAGGTTCTACTCATGGATTATTGTATTCAGTTTTCAAAAGCATTCTGTAGAAGCAGTAAAGTTGTGTTAAGTACTGTAATACTTTCAGCTCTATTCTCAGGTTGATAGGCATGGCATTCTGATTACATCTGTAAGATTTTATAAAAATTATTATTTTGACTTCCCACCTTCAATCCAACACCTATAACCAGAACAGAAAGCTAGTTTGCATATAAAGCTCTATGAAAATTTTGTGATACCATTTTCAGAATTAGCTTTAGCACAATTTACAATATATAGCAGGGGTCCTCAAACTCCTGCCCCCAGATGTTGCTGAACTACAACTCCCATGATTCTTTGCATTATATAGCCAGAGAATCATGGGAGTTGTAGTTCAGCAACATCTGAGGGGCCGGAGGACCCCTGATATATAGCATTATCAATTGCCAACAGAATGCATTTAACCCCTTAAGGACACATGACATGTGTGACATGTCATGATTCCCTTTTATTCCAGAAGTTTGGTCCTTAAGGGGTTAAAAGACAAAAGAGAAGAAACAAAAATAACAAAGGCTGGTCCACTTCATATACTGACTAACATCTGTACGACCATATCCAGATGAGGAAGGCATAACCCCTAACACAGGAAACATGACAAGGTATTAGAGTAGGTCATTGATATAATATGTTCCAGAAAAGATTGTGTCTCACTGGATTTGGGCACAACTCAACAAGTCACCTGACTGGGCAACCAATAGTATTCTTGTATAGGCAAAAGTATGCCGCAGAGATTTAAATGAATGAATTTAATGCTGTGCATTTTGGGGCTGTGATTCAGTCAAACTTAGTGAGAATTAAACTGGTAGGTATGTGCATGGTTTGACATTCCGAAATTCGGGACTTCGGCAATTTGGCACTTCGGCACTTTGACACTTCGGAACTTCGGCACTTCGACACTTTGGAAATTCGGTCATTTCGGGACCTCGGCAATTCGGCACTTTGACACTTCGGAACTTCGGGCAACTTCAGCACTTGGGCACTTCGGCACTTCGACACTTTGGGACTTCGTGATTTCGGAACATCTCTTGCATCCGCTTGGTAGATAACTCCCTAATTCCCACGGTAAAAATTACTTAGTATTAGTAAATTGTGCCCCTACTCGCTATACCGCGAGTAGGGGCATGTCTATTAAACAGTGAGCAGCCAGTGGCTGCTCACTGTTTAAAAAATAAAAAAAGAGTCCCCCCTCCCGAGCCCCCACCCGCGACGCGCGTGTGGGGGCTTTTAAACTAAAGGGGGGCCTATTGCCTCCTGGCCCCCACCCATGAGCGGCGGGTGGGGGCCTTATAGTAAAATAATGGGGGGGACCTATTGTCCTCCCCCTGGCCCCCATCCATGAGCGGCGAGTGGGGGCCCTAAAGTAAAATAATGGGGGGACCTATTGTCCTCCCCACTGACCCCTACCCCTGAGCGGTGAGTGGGGGCCCTAAATTAGAATGAGGGGGGACCTGATGTCCTCCCCCCTGGCCCCAACCCCTGAGCGGTGGATGGGGGCCCTAAAAACATATTAGGGGGGACCTAATGTCCTCCCCCATGGCCCCCACCCCTGAGCAGTGGGTTGGGGCCCTAAATACTAATTGGGGGGCCTAATGTCTTCCCCTGGCCCCCACCTCTGAGCGGCGGGTGGGGGCCCTAAATAAAAAAATGAACCCCCCCTCTCCCGGGTGACTAGGTTGGTGGATTAAGTAACCAATCAGAGTGTTATGAGTCAAATTACACAGCGTGGGAAAATTCCAAAGAACTTTCCCACGCTGTGTAAAATGACACAGAGCACTCTAATTGGTGGATTTCAAACCAACCAATCAGAGTGCTGTGACAGGTAAATGTAGAAACTTACCTGTCAGTCTCTTCATTTACCTGTCAGAGCACTCTGATTGGAAGGCTTAAACCCACCAAATAGAGTGCTCTGAACCTAATTGCAGGGCGGGGCAAGGCTTTATAAGCCTTCCCATGCCCTGCAGATCTCTGCGCGGAGCCCTGGCCAAGTGCAGATGGATTTTTTTTTTTAAGTGCGTCGGTTATTATAGCTTTTTATTTAGCCTTTTTTGGGGGCTGAAAAATTAAGAAAACATCAAATGGTAAGTTTTATTTAATTTTTTTCAGGTACTTAGTTAAATGGTCCCCCCTCATTATTTTTAGGGTGGGGAGTAGGTAGGGATTAATTTTTTTGGGGAGGGGGGTGACTAGTGGTTTGGGGACCCCTAATCACCTGGGGGAGGGGGGGGTTATTTTTTTTATTTAGGGCCCCCACCCGCTGCTCAGGGGTGGGGGCCAGGGGTAGGACATTAGGTCCCCCCCCCTAATTAGTATTTTAGGGCCCTCACCCACTGCTCAGGGGTGGGGCCCAGGGTGGAGGACATTAGGTGTCCCCCCCAATTAGTATTTAGGGCTCCCACCCACCGCTCAGGGGTGGGGGCCAGGGGGGAGGACATTAGGTCCCCCCAATTAGTATTTAGGGCCCCCACCCACCTCTCAGGGGTGGGGGCCATGGGGGAGGACATTAGGTCCCCCACCCAATTAGTATTTAGGGCCCCCACCCACTGCTCAGGGGTTGGGGCCAGGGGGGAGAACATTAGGTCCCCACTTTATTCTAATTTAGAGCCCACACCCACCGCTCAGGGGTGGGGGCCAGGGGGGAGGACAATAGGTCCCCCCCCTTATTTTACTTTAGGGCCCCCACCCGCCATTCAGAGGTGGGGGCCAGGGGGGGCAATAGGTCCCCCCTTCAGGTTAGGAAGAGGAGGGGGGACATGTTTTTTTTTTATTTTATTTTTTTTACAGTGAGCAGCCACAGGCCTCAGGCTGCTCAATGTTTAATAGACATGCCCCTACTCGTGGTATAGCGAGTTGGGGCATAATTTACTAATACTAAGTAATCTTTACTTAGTATTAGTAAATTTGGCTGAACAACCAATTCAGGTCTTTCAGCCTTTTAGTAGATAACTCCCTAATACCGTGGGAATTAGGGAGTTATCTACTTATTCATTCCTGTCATTACATTGACTGGCCAAGTAACTTACATTTTATATGAATGTATGTTACTTGATTGTTGTAAGTGTTGCAAATGCTTACAGCTGAATCCTTGCTATGTTTGTGTACTTTTTATTTAAAATTGTATACAATGTAACATTTTTCTTCTTTCACTGGGTAAGTATATTAGTACTTTAGGAATACTGTGCTTCGGCACTTCGGCACTTTGACATTTCGGAACTTCGGCACTTCGGAAATTCGGAACTTCAGGATCTCTGTAATTCGGCACTTTGGCAATTCGGCACTTCGGATATTCGGATATTCGGACATTCGGAAGTACCCGAATGTCCGAATTGCCCGAAATTCGTCCGAATAAATATTCATCCCGAAACTAATTGCACATGTCTATAAATTGGTATTAATAACATTCATCTTAAATCTGTTTGCTTAAATTCTCTAAATATCCCGAGGTTTTACCAGTACACAGATTTAATAAATGCTGCACATTAGAGAAAGATGACTGTTGAAAAGATAGTCCAATCAGTTTCATTAATGTAATGGATTTCCAAAGACAGGGTTTAATTTAATCTTGAAATGTTATTATTTTACTAAATAAATGTGCTATTGTAATTATGTAAAGCAAGAGTTATTGTTGATTCTGGAGTAATGGCTGATGGCATAGCACTCCTTTAGATGCACCTGGTAATTTAATATCGATTCAGTGTGTGTCCCCAATTGTATCACATTGTGACAAGGGTTTTTCGCTTACTAAATTGATATTCAATGAATCCTGGCACCAAATATTTATTGCATTGGACTGCAGATAGGTTTACAGCCCCATAACATAACATCACTTAATTTATATATAGAGAGAAGCCGAATCACAGCTAGACATACATAAGACATACACATACAGACAGGCTGACAGATAGATGGAAAGACAGATATTCAGACAAGCAAACAGTCAGACCAATACATATGCCAAAAAATCCAAAAAGGTTTATTTCTTCGACTTAAAGCGACACTATTGTCACCAAAACAACTTTGGCATAAAGAAGCAATTATAGTGTATAGATCATGTCTGTGAAATTTTGATGTTCAATTCACTGTCATTTAGGAGTTAAATCTCTTTTGTTGCTATGTATGCAGCCCTAACAACATTGCTCCTGGCTGTGTCTGACATAGCCTGCATGAAAACAAAATGGTTCTCACCAAAATTTAACATAGAAGTTGAGCTATATGTCTGTTCAACCATAACTTACATCACTCATATTTAGTGGACCCACACGTACTATATACAGTTGCAAAAAAAAGTATGTGAACCCTTTGGAATGATATGGATTTCTGCACAAATTGGTCATAAAATGTGTTCTGATCATCATCTAAGTCACAACAATAGACAATCACAGTCTGCTTAAACTACTAACACACAAATAATGAAATGTTGCCATGTTTTAATTGAACACACCATGTAAACATTCACAGTGCACCTCATCCTGGCATAGAACTGCTTCTGCCGCTTGTCGGGAATTGGGGGGGAAACACTGCATGTTTTATACACTGTGCCACATGCTAGGACAAAATAAACTTTTACAATACTGGTATAATAATTGTCAACTCATAGATGATAAGAGAAGAATGGGATCCCTCACAATCTTGCCATTTGTGCCTACAGAATCAGTGCATCCTGATGGGTCAACATGGCTATCCTTCACTTGATAAACCCGAAATGCCCATGTATAGGATTCACATAATTTATAGAATTTTATACCATACTGTGACTGATATATTGTTTGTAAAGCAGTCTACCTTTACATTTCATAAGGAATTCATCAATACAAATGTTTTGGTCTGGGATATGAATTGGGTAAATTTGTCAGACAGAAGTTTGATAAGGGGCCAAATTCTGTTGAGCCATCAAACAATGGGTTGTTTCTAAGGGGACACCATGTGTTAGCATTAAAAAAGAGGAATCATAGCATTTGCTTATAGTGATCCCTCTTCATAAACCCTGGGAAAAGATGGGTAGCCAGGGTGCGTGTGCCAGTAGGACCTGATACTTAGTTTTTTCACAAAACTTTTTTCACAATACCTGTTACTAGGGTTAGTGAACAAAATGTTTTAGTTTCTGCGACATCAGTAGGGTGCCACATGTTTTTTCTACTGTAATGTGACACCTGGTTCGCAGACAGGTATTGGCTGGCAAACAGGTTGATTTGCTCAAAAATCAGCTTAAACATCTCATCCAACATAAAGAGGCTAAAATAGTTCACTGGCTCACAAATATCTGCCATTGTTGTGATGCCAGGTAATGGGGGTAAGTCACGTTTGGGAGTGCCCAGCTTTCCTCTGGCACTGCAGGACATCCTAAGTGCCTTCTT